AATAACGATTATGACAATTGTCACTTTTCTATGGTACATCTTCACTAAATTTAAACATGTTATTAATACTTATTTTAATCTATTTTCGTCAAAAAAAATCAAAAAACTTTAAAAATAATCATTATGACTATTGTCACATTAAAATATTATCCTTAAAAAGATCATATAAAATAACATCAAAAAAGTTTAATATAAATATTTTAAAAATATTATTTAAAAAAAACACCTCATTTATTAACAAAAAAATAGATAATTTTACAAAATTGATAAAAAAAATTATAAAAGATTTCACCTAAAAGATTGTTTTTTTATAATAAAATTTACAATATAATTCCTCAATATAAAATGTATTTACAAAGAAGATTGTGAAAATCACTAATAAACTATATTAAAAAGAATATTACATTTTTACAATAGCAGCATATTATTTTTTTATAGTAAAAAAATATCAAATAAATAAATTTATTTTCATTTCAAAATATAACAATATAAATAAAATATTAAATCATATCATCTTTATTTGTTGATAATAATAAAATATTTACATTAAATATAAATAAAATAAATTATTTTACTAAAATAAATAAATAATAATTAATGCTAGGCATCGATGCAGAATTTTTGACTAATTTATTTTAGCCAATTTTTAGGCTTAGCCGATTTTTAGGATTAGCCAACTTTTAGGCTTAGCCGATTTTTAGGCTTAGGCGTAGTTTTTAGCCGATTACACAACACTAATAGGGAATCTATAAAGCTTGCGATTTGATACTAAAAACTAGAAATTTAAGAAGCGCCGTGCAGAGATTTTGGCGGCCCTGGGCAAAAAATAATTTGGCTCCCCCTAAAAAAACTATAAGCTTTCGAAATGAGAACTACATATATACCCTATTTCATTTTAATCATAAATGAGTGATGCTTGTAAAAATGAATATAATCATAAACTAAAATATTGCAATTTTATATGTCCTCCTAGTCTTTTTATATGAAGAAGAGGATATCATGTCAGTATTATCAAACATTAAGCCGATATTATTTTCAATTTAAATTAAAGTTAAAGTAAACTTAATCCACATAGCGAAAAATATGTTATTGTTTTCAATCATAAAAACATGATAGTCATCATAATATAATCCAAATAGAATGTAATATAAAATGTATGAACTATAATAATTTATTATATAGCATTTATCACATTTCCCCACACTTAAGATTTTAAAACTCCTCAATCAGACAATGTGTAGGCTTCCTCGATTGTTGTGATTTCCGCCTCATTGTTGTTTCTAGTTCTCGACTGAATTTTCATCAGTCTTTTCTATTTGCAGTTATCTCTTTCTATAAGTGGTCCTTCTACATTTTCCAAATTCTCAACTATTTCCCACTCCATATTTTCTTCATTTTCTTCTTCTCTCCCTGACTTCTCCAATTATTTACATCCAGTTTTCGCTGTTGATCCGCATGTTTTCGTATCGTTCCATCCATACTTTCTACAATAGGAATATCTATCAGTTCTAGATTTATAATTCCTTCTTTCCAACCTGAATTGATTTCATTATGTACCCATACAGGTGAAGTCTCGAATTCCCTCATTTGAATGTGTTCATCGTGCACTGTCTTTTGTCGTATATTAGATGGTTCCATCTTATCCTTAACATTTGGATGTAACCAATCTAATCCAGTTTTTAGATTGCGCCCCAACAATAATCTTGTTGGTAACGTCGAGTTGATTGGTGTTCACCCATTCTGTATGCTGTCAAAATTTCTCTCCTTAATACCTTTTCTAGTGGAAAAATATCGACTCCGTATTGTTCATTCAGCTAACCCATTCGTTTTGGGATGGTAAGGTGTTGGATGTATTAATATAATATTTTTTTTCAAATAGAATCTTCGAAATTCTTCAGAAATAAATTAAGGGTCATTATATGCGTGCGAACCATTTCCTTAGCGCCCTGATCATTGTTGTAGACGTGGTCTCTCTCATCAACTCGACCTCAACCCATCAACTCCAACTAACCATGAATATGTATCGATAGTTCGCGCAAAATTTAGACCAATGCGTTCCCATGGCGTATTAGAGATGTTCCACGAATATAAAGGAACCTCCATTATATTTGACTGGTTACTTTGAAGTGGCATACATTGACGAACATGTTGTTCAATGTCTTTAACGTAATTAGATTACTAACATTAAAAATTGATTTCATAGCATTTATTCTTGGAGAATATTGATTTCCTCAACACGGTTGGAATTACAAACTTTCCATTCAATGACATCACGATCTACTGACACTTTCTCCATTGATTATTAAAACAAACTAACTCTGCACCATTTTTCGCATCAAACTTCATCCAGCCTCGCTCAATGTTTTTAATTATTTTATTTAGCAATCTATCTTTCCTTGTTTCTTTTTGGAGTTCAACTTGACCAAGATTTATATCTCTAATTTTTAATGCATGACTCCCGTTATTGAGTATTGGATATTTTTGGTAGTTTCCGTTTTAATTTTTCCAAAGGTTTGTGATCTCTTCTCAATTTAAATTTTCGTCCAAAGATGAAAGTATAAAAATTTTCCATTCCAAACAAAAGTGCTCGTGCCTCTTTTTCTATTGGTGCATAATTTTTCTCTGAATCCAATAATATTTGCGAAGCAAATGCGATAGGTCTGCTGAAACTATTTTTAACTATGTGATATAGCACAGCTCCAAAACTAATGTTGGAGGCGTCACATTCCAATATAAATGGCAAGGATTTTACATTTTTGCTTTATTTTATTAAATACATTTTGTATCCTGTCAGACAAACCCAGGAGCATTTAATGCTTATTTATTTATATAGTGGAGCAGCGATACTATGCAAATGTACAAGCCCTAAAAAAAATCGCAATTGGTATATATTCTTAGGAGTTCGTATCCTTCTAATGGCATCTATTTTTTCTTTCGAGGTGCATGCCATTTTTATCTATTACAAATCCTAGAAAAGAAACTGATTCTTTTAAAAAACGTATTTTCACCCATTTTGCCTTCATGCCAACCTATTTTAATTTCATTAATACCTCTTTCACAATGTTCAAATGTTCTACATCATTTCTTCCTGTTAAGATAATATTGTCTAGGTATACTCCAGTCATTTGGCTGTAAATTATCCCTATATCTTTGGAAAATAGTCGGCCCCACAAGAAAAGCCGAAAGGCAAACATTGAAATCGAAAATAACCAATATGTGTTTATATATTTAAGTATTCCTTTGAGCCAAGGACGTAGCCAGAGGGGGGGGGAAGTGGCAAGGGAAATCCCCCCTTCAGAAATTTATAACTTTTTGGGAAAATCATTTTAAGCTTATAAAAAATATCCCCCTTAGTATCCCCCTCCCACTCTCTGACCCCCAAAAATGTATACATATATCTTAAACAATAATTTGAAAGGAAAAATGTAAAAGTACATATTTTTTATAAAACTATTCATCATAATTTATACATTTTTAAAAGCATTTATATATAAAAAAAGTGAAACAAAAATGTTTTTTAAGAAATGGAATATAAGCCAAAGATAAGTCTTAAGACAAAAGTGAAATGCATTAAAATTATTAATAATGGATCCATAAAATTACTAAATAATTTAATATATCAAATATAATTTTTATAAAGTGAGTAATTTTAATTTATTTATATTAATAAAAGTAAAATATAATTATAAAACTATTGATAAAATTAAATCATAAAATTAAATCACAATACAAACAGTGCAATATTATATGTCGTAGATTTACAGTATATCTAATTTTATCAATTATCATATGACAATCAAATAATTTTTACCAATATAACATATTATATATTTTACAGAAAACTATAAAATATTGATAAGGACATCAGAAAATATCTTTTAAAGACATTGTGGGATGAATAATATGAAGATTAATTTTTAATATCATCTTTTATTTAAAATAAATAGATGGCGTTATATAATTGAATGCAAATTGTTGCTATATTTATTATCAAGAATATTGATTAGTAAAATCTGTTAAAATATTAATTGTAATATATTCTCTAACTATCAAATATGTCTATAAAAGTGGAATTTTACCTAATATTTTGTAACAAATCCTATATAATAGACAGTGGCGTAGACAAAGGGGGGGGGGGTTGGGGTTGAAACCCTCCCCCCCCCATAACGTCCGAAAAATTTTTTTTAATTAAACATTTTAGAAAATTTTTTGAAATTTTTTTCTTATTGCGAATAATTTTATTTAAAAAACCATTTCATTTTATAAATAAATTTATATACGATATCAAAATGAAATATATTTTAAAAAAACAAATAAGAATTTTCAATTTTAAATGATCACATGGTTTAAAAATATATATTAAAAATTATTTGAACCAAAATATTTACCATCTCAATTCTTGTGAGATATCGGATGCTTTAAAAGTCATCTCTATGAATCAAAAGATATCAATATCTAATGTATTGAATAAAAATAATTTTGATATTATCACAACCAACAGAGCAATAATAATTATAATAATTGATGTAATCATTTGGTTAGGGAGGCAGGGCTTAGCATTAAGAACTAATAGAATATCTGCTGGCCCCTCACACTTACATACTCTTCTCATAATGAAGGGAATTTCAAGGAATTGTTGAAAATTTTATGTAATAATAATGATAACTATATAAAGCTTTTTAAAAGCTCTGCTAACACCTACCCTACCTTAGTCCAAGTATTCAAAATGAAATAATAGCCATATGCAATAGGTTCATATTAAAAGAAATTTCTTCAAAAGTGAAAGCATCACCATTTTTTAGTGTTTTGGCGGATGAGACTTCGGATGTTAGTAACTTAGAGCAATTATCCATAGCAGTAAGGTTTATTGATATGGAATCAGGTGATTTCAAAATGAAGGAACACTTTGTTCAATTTATTGACTTACATGACACTAAATCAAAGACGTTAGTCAAAAATTTTTAGCATCCATTCAAGACCTAGATTTAAATTTAAATCTAATGAGAGGCCAAGGATATGATAGAGCTCCTTCGATGAGTGGTTACGTCAAAGAAGTGCAGTCAAGAATTAGAGAGCTTTATAGCACAGCTCTATACGTTCACTTTAGTTCACATTGCTTATTGATGATATATGAGGCATGCGAAATTCCATCCGGAACAGTTTACGTAAAAATATTTTAATTTAATTGGAATTAATTGGATTTAAATATGTATTATAGACATCTTTTTATAATTCTAATATATTTTTCAAAATATAGAAACAATATCGTCGGTAACATTTTCACTCCACCCAAGAAGAGGCCGCCTTTTAACCGAACGTTTATGATATTGATTCAAATTATCAAAAAAAAAACTAAAAAGATTTTACCCAACTATTTATTGAAAGACAACAATCAGTGAGATTTTTCATCGAATTATATGAAGTTATTTTTGTAGCGCTCAAATCCTACATATCAAGCAAAGTAAAAGATTCCGCAGATGCTGAAAATCTTTTGCAAGCTATTACGAAGCCACATTTTTAATATCAATTCAATGTGTATATATTTTATTAAATTATACATATGATTTTAGCAAATGTTACAAAATATTGATTTGGATTTAAGGGAGGTTATGAATAGGGCAAAGGATAATGTTGAAATATTAACAAATATCAGAGATAATGTGAATGAAAATTTCATGAAATATCGAGAAAGTAAAGGATATCGCTAATACGTTTGGGATTGACATTTTTAAACCTAGAATAGTTTTTAGACAGTCCAATCGCTTAAATATTGATGCATCTACGATTGAGGATTTTTATAAAATAAATATTTTATTCCCCTTATTGATACATTTTTATTTCAATTAAATGAAAGATTTATTAGTCACAATTTTATTTTAAAAAGCTTTTATTTTCTTATGCCAGTTGAGTCTGAATTGTTGATTACACTTGAAACGAGAGAGGTTATTAAGAAAATCTCATTTTCAAGATAAGTTACTTTGTGATGTCGTATTTTGGTATAAAAATCTTGATAAAATAGAATACTTTTTGAGACCAAAAAATGCTTTGCAGGCCCTTTCCATGTGTAATTGCAATTTAGATTCTCTACCTATTTTTATAAAAGTATTGCATTTGCAATATGAATTATTTATATTTTTATCCATTTGTATTAGTTATAAATATAATTGTTAAATAATATTTTTTTTAAATACCGTACAAGAATTACTTATATTTTATTGAATTATATTTTAAATATAGTATACAATAAATTTTTAATATAATAATCTGTATAAAATTTCTACATTTTGAAATTTTTTTATTGTATTTTATTATTAAAATAAATAAGGGATGTCAGTGGCGTATCCAGGATTTTCTTATAGGGGGGAAAAAAATTTTTTTGGGGGCTTCCCCCAAACCCCTTTTACCTGGCCTTCGGCCAGCTTTTCACCGGCCTTCGGCCGGGTCTTATTTAGCTATTCTAGAAAATTATTGATAATTTAATTATAATTATATTTCTATTTTTAACTATTATTTACTAATTCGTGCTTATGGATAGGATATTACAAGCCTCTTTTTTATTATTTCAAGTTAGGTATATTATATTTAATAAAGTTTTTTTAAATGTAAAGTTGAAATAAAGTGTAATGTCATTTTTTTTATAAAATTTGCTTTAAAAACTAGCCTCAGCTTAAATTCTCATACAATATGAGTAGAATATAATTTTTTTATTGAAAATACTAATAGTAGTGTGTTTAAAATATTGACTAGAAAATAATTAAATTAACAAGTTTTTTTAACTTTTTATCAAATACAAGATTTTTAATTATTTTGTTTGTCGTTGGAACCAAATCTCTGTGTATATTTAACAGAGCTAACCCATTTAGCCGAGATTCACTCAAGTTGGAAATCCTTTCATTCGTACATGTTGTAATAGGCAAACATGCAAGAATATAAAACAACTTCGAAATATTAGGAAATTGAGCTAAGGTTTCTTTACACCGATTGAGCGCATCAATAGCAAAAATAGCTAAACGTATAAATATTTATACCATAATTCGAATTCACTGATTAAATTTATTTCAGTATCAATCTCATAGGAATAAAATTTTTCTAAATATTTAATTATAGCAATAGTGCCATTAGAAAATGAAGAAGGATCTTTGGGTAATAAAACTTGAAGATTGCTAAAGACTTATTTTTTATCTAAAACCCGTACTTTTATTTGCGATGAAAAAGTATCTAAGAATGGGATGAAAATGAATATTTTATAATATTCTTCAGTTGAGCCAATATTTATTTACATCTCAATAATGGCCTAGTGCTAGACGAGGTTTAATTAGTGTTATATCATAAAATTTAGCCTTCGATTCAACGTCTAGATAAATATTATGAAAATATTTATCTACATTCATTCTTATTGTATCTACCTGTTCATGTATATTTTCCGCCAAATCAATAACCTGAACCAAATCTAAATTTGGTTTTTGTAAATTTCTACAAAGTAGTGAGCTAAAATAATTTATTGATGCAACTAGCAGCAATGATAAACTCTGATTGATCAATTGAATTCAATAATGATATCGCTGCTGACGACACATTATTTTTTTTCATGCTCAGCCTTATTTATAAATTATCGTTTGATTTCAATCTCTTTGACTAAATATTTTTCCATTTTATTAATATTTTTGAATAATATGTTGGAAAATTGATATTCAAATATTTGTAAAATTTTGATTGGTGGAAGGGGGGGGGGGTGGGGGTAAAATTTTTATTAGCTTAAAATGATATTTATGAAAATAGTCAAATTTGCGATGGGGGGGGGGAATTTCCCCCTTTCCCCCCATTGGTTACGCGCCTGAGGGATGTTATTTATACTATAGTATTTTAACAATAAATAAAATCTATAATGAAATTCTATAAAATTTAATTAAAATAATTATTTTTAACACACAATAAGATATATTAAGTGATCATAATAAATGGAAGGTTTGGGGGAAAATTTTTTTCTTCTTTCTGCACTGGATGGATTAATTTTCAATTTATTAAACAATGATAAAATTATTAGAATAATGTTTCCAGCCGCTTATTAATCATAAATTTGGCCAAAATTCTGTTACTAATATTCTTTCATTTATGCTGGCCACTATAGTGTAGAGTGGTTAAACCGCTCGTTTTGAGCCGATTTTTAAAAACTGCTAACTCAATATTTTAGAAGAAAAATATTGCCTAAGTCTTGGGATTTTGCTAATAGATGTTCAAATCTTTGTTCCTTCTATAAACAAAATCTTCAGGCATGCTTAATATTATTCAGGATAAAATATTAAGTTAGTAGTTTTTAAAAATCGGCTCAAAAAGAGCCGTTTAACAACACTAATAGTGATTTGACACTAATAAAGCATATAATATAAGCGAAATTTAAAAATAGGGTTTGGGGGCGAAGTCCCCCAAAAAATTTAAACCCCCCTCCCCCTACCCATGGATAAATCCTGGCTACGCCACTGATAATAAAGGAATATCAACTATATGTCTACTTACTTTTTATAAATAAATTTCTTATACTTGTTTGGAATAAATTATTACCGTGCTTTTATATTAATGTATATACAAGTAATTTATTATATTTTATATAAACTAATAAAAATAAATTTCATATTTGTTCCAGGCTTATTTTTTTTATTAAAAATAGCCTCCTATCTTGTAAAAATATTTATGACTATATATAAACTAAGGTAACCCGGCCGAAGGTAGAATAAAAGCGCACCAAAGGCCAGCCTAAAATGGGATCTAGTCCCCCCCCCTTAGGAAAATCCTGGCTACGTCTATGCTTTGAGATTTTTTATTTGTAGCTGCAAATAAGCATCTTTTAATCTATGACAGTAAATTTAACCCCCCCCCCCTGTAGCCAAATAGATTATCTACGACAGTAAATTTACCCCCCCTGTAGCCAAATAGATCATCTACAGTTGGTATTATCCTGATTTCTTCATTTGTTTTGCGCACGTTTACTGTTGGAGTAGCCCACGTCATACGTGTTTTTGTTGGGTAAATTTCCTTCAATATTCCTGTTTTAATCAATCTATCGAGTTCCAATTCAATTGGTTTTCGTAATGGAAAAGGTACTCTACGTGCTGGATATGATTTCAGCCTTGCTGCCTCACTAAGATGTATGCTAACTTCACAATCATTAACTAATCCTGGCTTATCATCGAAAACACTGACAAATTCTGTAGTCATGGCCCCAATTTGTTTATCAATTGTTATAAAAATTTACTTGTTATACTACTTAATGTAACTTGTCGTGGAATAAACATATTATATGCCAGTATCAGTGGTAGTTCAAAAAGTGGTATGTCACTTGAACCGGTATCGACAATTGGTAATTATCGGTCTATATTTTCAAATAGTTTCACCAATGACGTTCAGCTGTTGATTGCCGTAAACTAAAAGTAGTTTTGTTGGTTCAAGTTTTGTCTGCAAATTTCATACCAATATTGTTTTCCAATTACAGAAACCTGTGCACCCGAATCATAAAATTTTAATCGGTACTCCGTTTATCCTAACGGATATCTTAGCGCTGTTTCTACTAATTTGGGACATGTTATTAATTGAATCTGATGATTCATTACCATCTTGATGCATAACATGTAGTTAAGGTCCCATTTGCATAGTGCCCCACCTTTTGGCAATTGTAACCATTTCACCCTTAATGTTAAACATTGGATGAGGTGTGAGTTTTACATCGTGAACAGTCATTGTTCTTACCCATGACATTATTGCTCAATTTACTATTATCTCTGTACTTAAAAATTGTTATTATTATAATTATTGTAATAATAAAAATTTTCTTTTTCTTTGATATTATGTGGGTACTTTTAATTAAAAAGATTTCCTTGTTTATTCTCCAATTGCTCACATCTGATTTTCCATTCTCTCATCTAGGTGAGATTCGAGTTTACACTCTTATGCCAATTTTTAAGCCGACGTGCAAACTAAGCAACGGCTTTGCCATTCCCTCTTTCTATTCGAATAAACGTAATCCTAGAACTAAACAAAGTTGAAGTGAGCTTAAACTAGTATTGTTAAACGGCTCGATTTGAGTAGATTTTTAAAAACGACTAACTCAATATTTTAGCTAGAAAAATATTGTTTAAGCCTCGAGATTTCGTTAATAGATGTTCAAACCTTTGTGCCACCTATGAGCAAAATCTTAAGACTTTGCATAATATTTTTCCTAATAAAATATTGAGTTAGCCGTTTAACAACAACGCTTAAACACTGCCTTACCAATTTCAACTATTTCATCATAATTAAGTTCCTTCAAAATTCTTAGATATATAAATTACCTCATCTCTGCCAAATTACTAATCCCCATGTATGCAAATAATATTTTTTTACTTGGTTTCCTTATTTATTAATATCCCTCTTATCTCAAACACATCATCAATATTTTCAATATAGTCTTGAAAGTTGTTTTGTTTATTAAAATTATCAACCAATTAAAATATTCATTTCACCACTCTTATTAAAATGTTTGATTCTTCACTTTTACCCAATACAGTAGTTGGTTTTCTTCTTTATTCATAAAACCCATCCTCGTCACCATTAAAGTAAACTTAAATGTTTAATCATTTGTTCTACATAATGAAAAATATGTTATTGCTGTCAATTATAGAAACATGATAATCATCATAATATAATCCAAATAGAATGTA